GAGTCATGTAGATGCATTGAGCCGGTCGCCAGTTGATCAGCCAGAAGAAACTTTATAATTGAAAACAACTTGGAAGTTTGTTTAACACTAACGACAGATGAACAAATTCTTATGATTCAGCTTTCAAATCCCGAATTACGCAAATTAATTGGCATTTTAAAGAAAAAGATAAATGATAGAACGAATGCAGAGAAACATGTAACTGAAAATTACGCCTTGAAGAATAATTGATTGTTTCGTAAAGTAAAAGATCAGGAAAAGGAGAAATTGTTATATGTCATACCTAAGTCGATGAGAAAAGGTATTGTAGTAAAATTTCCCGATCATTTGGGACATTTTTCAGCATATAGAACTGTTGCCAAAATCAAAGAGTCATACTGGTTTAAAGGAATGAAACGATATGGTATGCATCATATTTTGATGTGTTTTGAATGCCTAATAAATAAAGTGCCTAGTGGTAAGAAACAAGGAGTACTGCAACCAATTAGACCTAGTAGAAGACCTTTTGCAGTCATACATATAGATCATTTAGGACCATTCACAAAAAGTTCAAGAGAAAATACAGAATTATTTGTAATAATTGATAATTCTACAAGATTTTTACGCTTATATCTTATAACTAGTACTGCAACCAGGTATCTGTTAGATGCATTGAAGAAATTTGTAGATGATTTTGGATTACCAGAAAAAAATTATCAGCAATAGAGGAACATGTTTCACAGCAAAGGAATTCAAGATTACTGTCAAAATAATGGAATCAGTCATACGCTTAATTCAACTCAACATCCAAGTGGTAATGGAATGATGGAAAGAGCAAATCGAACAATTTTGGCTACGATTGAAATGTATAATGGAAAATCCATATCAGAGGGACTGGGACAAAAAGATTAAGGAATGCAAAAGAAATCTAAATATGATAAATAAGACTACAAATAAAACTCCTTTCGAAATGCTTCATGATTATTCACCAAAATTTAATGACAGAACGATGAGGATGATTACAAATGAAGATGCAAATGAATGGGACAAACCAGTAATCTTACAGAATGAAGCTAGAAAGAGAATTGAAGATATGCAGATGAAAATGAAAGCAAATTGTAACAAGAAGAGAAGCAATTCTTTAACATTCAAATGAGGAGAAATAGTAGTTATGAGAAGAGTACCTAAATCAACTGGAGAATCAACCAAAACACAACCAAAATATCGAGGACCTTCGGTAGTTACAGAAGTTTTACCAAGTGATATCTATAGAGTGACTCAATTAGAAGAGAAGGTGAAAGGACGTTTCTTTAGTACAACAGCTCATGTGAGCCAATTAAAGTCATGGCAGTGTCAAACTGAATCAGAGGAAGACGATGATGATGGTGATGACATTAGTGTTGCTGGGGATAACGATAACAACACGCCGCATATTACTAAACCTAGGACACGGAACAAGAATAGAAAAAGATGGTGAATCTATATGATAGAAGACTTTCGAACTATAAATTTTTAATATTACAAATTTAATTTTATTTTAAGTATACGTTTTTAATGTTCCAAGGTTGTAACAAAGTCAGGATGTCCGAATGTAAATGCAAAGCATTGATTTTTGATTTTATTTTAAATATATTTTCCCCGAGTGGCAACAGAGAGTATTTTTGATGTAAGCCAATTTGAACGGTAATGCTTTTTTGAAGTGTGCATAGTAATTTTATATTTTCAGTTGTATTGTCTCAGCAATATGTAAGTAATGTGAGAATAAAGATTTATTAACATAAGTGAAATTTTTTTTTCATATTTTAGCTAAAACCTATTAAACATATATAAAATTCTCTCCTCAACTCACTGTAAGCATATAACATGTCAATGAACTTTTTATTCTTTAATTTAAAAGATCTTTTATCTTCATGAACTCTAGCACTCGAATATTCTTAGATATTAAACATCAAGTGAGTTGTAATGTGGGAATCTTACAATTCATGGCAGTTAATCATCCAACTGAAAGCAGTTGATTCATCAACTGAAAGCAGTTGATTAAAACATTACTGCACACAAATAAAATAATGAAATGGCACTCATTCTGTTGTGCAAGTAAATTTTTAGGCCACAGTGTGAAATATTTATGAAAATGCATAAAACGAGAGTAAATAAATCTAGGAATTAGTTTTTCTAAAAATTAATTAGTATACACAATGCATGTATGCTAGTTTAAAAATACTTAAACATGTGTTTCTATAATTTATAAGCATAATTGTGAACAATAATTAATGGATGATCAGTTTCTATTATTTTTTTATACTTAAATATTTCATCTACACAATTTATTTTGATATCTTTTATTTTGGTTCAGAAAATATTTGTTAGAAATTAATCTTAAAATAAAAATAAAGAAGAGGAGAGAGAAAAAATCTTGATTGAATTTTAACATATTCTTGGATTATTTAATCAATTTGTCTATCTTTTGTTGTATTATTCTGGGTAATTTTAGCTTTCTGCTGTCCGAGATGTTTAAGAATATTTTCCAGTTATGATAATTCATATTAAAGCATGTGCTCATTTAATCTGATGAAAGCTTATAATTATGCCTTAGAAAGTATACTGCTTATCAAAATTAAAGAATACTTACAGAAATAAAACTTAATGACTGTAATTTGACAACTTCCCATATTTGGCTTTGATTAATTTCAAAATATTGAATTTTAAGACAAATTTGTAGAAATTAAAAAATGATGGAAAATTGAATGCTTATATGATGTACGATCGCTTTTGGTAGAAATGCAAAATGTAGATTTCATAGAATTTACAAAACTGTTAATTAAATCTTGTGGAATTTCATATAATTTTTCTGAAAGTGCGGTTCAGTAGCCTAAGATACTCAACGCATATTCAGGCAGCCTATCAATCTATGAGCAAGTTTATCAATTCATGTGATATCCTCTTTTTCCCAGTATTTTGACATCATACCTCTAAACAGTCTTACAAGAGGTTCTAAGACATTGCTCACATATCTGTGGCTGGTTTCCATCTCATACCGTGAAACTGCTTTCATAGAAATGGGATCTTTCATGAGCAAGTGAAGGCAAGTTGAATGTTCCTTGTTCCTTCCAGATCAAAATATGTCTAGAATAATAATCCAGGTATTATCAGAACTCGTCAGTACAGAGACTATAGTCCCATTCCTCTTAGTTTGGCTGAACATGATGGCAACACAACTTTAAAAAAGCCTTTTGCAAGATGAAGACATAAACCATTGGTTTTCTGGCAAAAAGGTCTAACATTCTGTAGCCTTGGTACAGCAGTGAAATACTGATTTAAATTCTTGTGGGAGCTTGAAGATCTAATAGCAACTCTCATTTAGTTGCTTCATGGTTTTTCTTGGACCCAAAAATGATGGAAAACTGCCTTTAAATGCAGTTTTTGCTCTTGGTTGCCTTTGAACAGGCTGTATTGCTTAACAGTCAATTTTAAGTTCTTAATGTGATAATCTACAGATATTCAGATCTTGGGTCATTTCCTTTTATATTAAAACTCCCTCAAGTCTACAAATTAACCACAACTTTTGTACTGTATCTAAATGATTCCTTTGAATCATAACCAATGAAAATAATCAATCTCAGAATCTACATCAAATTTTAACACCTGAACTCAACATACAATCTATTTTTTCAGTATCCTGCCAGTTGTCTATTAGCATATTTCATGCACTAATTTAGGTGCATAAGGTCCAATTTTACATTCAGCTGCAGATTTATTAATTTACACAAATACAGTCAAAAGTCGTTAATTCGGACATCCATAATCCGGAATGATCTATAATCCGGATATCAAAGCTACAAACTTTCTGCGCATGCGTCGCATTGACGCATGCTCAGAAGACCTTTACGGCTGCGAATATGTGTTTGCGCGTGCGCAAAATACGTTTACGAATGCGCGTTTAATGTATAACGGACATAAGCTAAGCTAAAATTATCTAATTCAGTTAATGTTGCAGATTGCGTTGTTCCTTAATCTTCGAATTGGATTCGGCTTATTATTTTTTGCAGACTGTTACAGCAATTTTATAAAAGTAAGCTTGAACTTTCGATTATATCAAATAGAATTTCCGATATATATTTGTTAATATGTAAAGGATCTAAAGCGAAAGTATGTTTCAAAATCCGAAATCTGTTTATCAATTTCACGCTGCTCGGCGGGGGGAACGCCGCCGCGCGTAACGAATTGGAAGTTGATCTGTCAGCACTATCCTTATCTTCAGGACAGATGTTTTTATTTTATTTGGCTTATAATTCCTTACCAAATGTAGTATTTCATCTCGATGTGCTCCGTCTTTGATATTATTTAAAACAAGTTCCTCGTCATTATAATTCGCTTCCGATAGTGAAGAAAGTAACAGAGGTTATTGAAAACGAAAAAATTTCGATTGACAAATTAGTCGGTTATTCTCAACACAGGAATTATAGGACTTGAACAGTGGAACTTTGTAACTAAACAAGAAATTATGTCTGTTTAATAGAATTAAAGAGAAAGTATTATCACATGAAACGAAGCAACTTAAACAACTTACATTGAAAGAAATGTTTAATAAAGTAAACAAATAAATATTAAGCTTTTTCTTTTTGTAAATTTTGATACCATTTAGATCATAATTGTTCTTTATTTCATAAATTACAGTTTCATATTTTTAATTTTGTAATTTCTGCATGCCGTCCTACCAGATTTAAACTGATGATCTATAATCCGGAATCGCCGAAGTCCCGACGAGTCCGGATTAACGACTTTTGACTGTAATTGGACCATAGAAGACTGGCTGAAAACTTTAATAAGTCAACACATTTTTTTGAGGTTATCCTTTAATTTTTATAAGCAATGTAATGCTATAAAGCAGACATCTAGAATAATTCATGTTATCATTTTATTGTTCATTAAAATAATACATGTTCCTCACCTAACTTACAGTTTCTATATCTGCTTCTATGATGTCTAAATACTGTACAACTTAATGACAAAAAATAAGTTACCTCAAGAAACTTGTACCAGTTGCTTCATTCTTTCCAGATGATGATGGACTTTGAGAACTAGAACTGTTGCTTTCAATGCTCTCAACTTTAGTCAAAGGACTTGGGCTAGGTTGATTTGATCGCAGTGACCGCAATGGAATATTTTCACGTCCAGGAGAATTTTCTCCTGGCTCAAGAGTAAAGCTGCCTTCATAACTACTGCAACTATCCATAACAGAATAATTTATCTGAGGTGCAGCAGGTAGACTGCTTGGAGAATCTTGAGGGGAATGATTTGGAGATTGATACAGGTACACATCATCAACAGAAACTGAACTACAAGGAAGAACAGAATTTTTAACACTTATAATTTCAGATTATTTGAATACATGGTACAATGAAAAGTAAAATTAAATAAAAACAAATGAATCCACCTTCATAAAATAAATGGTACTATTCGGTTTTGAGGGGAAGATATTCTCAGTAAAGTGCAGAATCGCTCCCTTATTTGTTCGCCGCTTTTTACAAGGGTAAAAACAATTGGATTTTTGTCAATTTTCTTTTACTTTTTAAGTGAAAATAGGTCGATGTGTACATAGATAATGTCAAGGGTGTGCGCAGTGCCATTTTTGTGCAACTCTATGATTTTTTTTTAAGTGAAAAGAGGTCATGTGCACATGGATACCGAGTATGTGCAGTTCTTAAAAACGCGTCAAGCAGTGGATGATTCTGCACTTTACCCAAAATTCTATTGTCGACTTTTCATCATGGGCATTGTTAAATCCATAGGATATCAAAAAAGGATTTAAAATCAAAAAAGTATTTAAAAATTAAACTAGTATTTCAATGGCGTCTTAAGAAATATAGACCTATATAAACTTAACGCAATCTGAAATCAGCGCGTATGCTAGATTTGGGCGCTGTTAAATGGGCGCATTTGCTAGATTTGCAATTTTTGGGCATACATTTTTGCTGCAATTTTTTATGGCCCTCAAAACAGAATAGTACCAAATAAATTAAAGGTTTTATATGTATAATTAAGTGTTAAAAAAGTAGCACTAAATGTGAAAATCAAGAATGTTATTCTTCCTTTATAATGTTACAAATAATATTTTTGAGCAACATAACTATGTTATATATAATTAATTCATTGTGCAATGTAGTATAATCATAATTATTACGGATTATCTTGTTTCTTAGGTCAAGGAAACAAAAATCTAATAAAGTAATCAAATATTTAAAATTAAACTGCTAACTTTAGATATTAGAAATATATTGTAAAAATGACCTTCTGAGAAATTACAGCACACTTTATTGATACAAGGCATATAACTCATTTAAGAAATTATATTTTAGAATAATATTTCTCCCCACCTCCTTGTATAGGAGAATGAAGCATAACAGATATTTTTTCTTTCCACTTTTCAGGGTACCATTAATTAAACTCAGTAAACTATGCAAAAAAATAAATCAATTTTACAGTAGGAAAATAAAAGAAATTTCTTAAAATTAAAGCATTTCAATACTTTTAAACAACTTGAAAATTTATTTTAGAGACTTCCATTAAAGCACTTTTCATATTCACACAGAAAAATATAATTTTTATAACTGGTGTTTGAATACTAACCGAAAATCCGCCGACCTGAAATCTGCGTTGCTTCTCAGAATATAAACATTCAGTTCATAGGTTCCAAAAACCACAACATTGAGTACGAAATATCGAAGAAAAAAATACTTACCAAATAAATGCCGTCATAATTACCAAATAATAATGAGTCAAAACGGAAATACTAAATTATTCATATAAAAAAGTTAAAAAAATAAGATAAGTTTTTTTCCCTCTAATCTGCATCGAGGTAAAAAAGCAGACGCTTCACTCAAATCTTTGTTCAAGTTCACGATTCACATTGTTGTATTTTTTGAGCTTTCTTATTTCATTTCACGAGATTAGTGCTGCCTTTTTTTATCCGGATATTTTGTGGATAAATTAAGAATATTATTAATTTCAGCCCTTTTTAATACAATGACAGATAAGAAATGCACTCATGATTTTACTGCTTGCAACGTTGAAAAACGTAAACACATTGCATTGACGGTAATGCAAAAAGTGCAAATGCTGCAAAAGATGGAAGCAGGTGCTGCTCCTCGATTCATAGCAGAATGGTATGAAATTGCGACACGATTGAGTACGATATACGGAAAAATAAAGAAAAGCTGTTGAAATTTTACAGCAACAGTGATTCTAACACCGTAAATCTTTGCACGAGGCGAAATCGGCAAACCTCGATGCTGTGTACATATAATACAATGAATAATATAATCAATTTATATATGTAATAATCATTTAATGCATAAAATAAATTATTGCAATAATGTATATAATAATTCAATTAAATGTATCTAATACGCCTTATTCATTTTGCACTTTTAGTCCAAATATTATGCTTTATGTTTTCTGTCCTGAAATCCGCACAACCTCTGGACCCAAGCTTTGCTGATTTCTGGAATTCTACTGTACTAACGTATATTATCTATATTTTGTTAATTACAACTCTGCTCTATGACTTTAATGTGTATTTCCAAACTAAATGAAATTCTGTTGCTGATAAAAATGTAGAAGCTGGAAAATAAATTAGTAGGTTATTTTTTGGAGATTGGTGTTAAACTTCACTTGATATAAGTATATTTTGAAGTGCGAGAAAAGTTAAATTAAATACAAAACATGTCCTAGTTCACTAATTGATTTAAAAGTTACCATATTTCTCTCTTAAACACAGAAGATGAAGCTTACACTAATTTTCTAATATTGGATTTGGGCCAAATTAAATTTGATCTAGAGAAAATCTATGAAAGCACTATCTTACAGTTTTCCCTTTCTCAGTCTTGCAGTGTACTCTTTCTCTGTCCACTCATTCAGTATCTCTTTTTGTTGTGTAGCAAAATGTTTTTAAAAATAAGAAAGAAATAGTTCACAGGCCAAAAAGCACTCATCAAGCAAGAAGAGGGAACTACAAGGAGAAAGAAGTAGCCTAAATATATTCAATACTGCCTTCTCAGATTAATGTATAAACATGGATGCACAATTCAGATTAATATTTCACTGCTTAATGCTTGATGTAAAAGCATGACTTTTATTGTTTGTTATCATTTAACCCATCTACAGTAACATAATTTAGAGACACAGCACATTTTCATCGCTCTATTTTCTCTTCAAGAACATGCTAAATTGTTCAGAATTCTTTAATTTTATATATACAATACAGAGAAAAAAGGCAAAAGTAGATTATAAAAGAAATTATTATATTATTTTTTTATAATTTAAATTAGCTATTTATTCATTTTATTTATTTGTTACACTATTAATGCAAAGGAGATTACTTTATTTCATTATTTAATATATATTTATCTACTATGCTTTGTGTGCATTATATATAACTTTCAGTATTATCTCATTCAATCAAACACAGATCATACTAATAACCCATAGGTATGCAGACATTATAAATAACTTTACTGAATTGCTTGAGTATTAGACACACTAAATTTATTATCTAATTTTCAAAATTTCTGCTTTGTATTTTCACTCACCTAGATTTACTTCCTCTTTGTAAAGCAAGAGGAGAAGTAAGAGTAGCACCACTAGAGTCCCGAGTAAAACGAATGTGATTTCCAGGCACATTAACTTTTTGTGAAGGTGATTTGAAAACATCCAAAGAATTTGTTGGAGATACCTTTGCATGTGATCTCGCAGAATTTGATTTTAGAGATCTTGTACGTTTCAGTGGTGCACCTCGAACTGAATGCCACATGCTACCAAACAAAGAGTGGTTTCTCTAAATGAAAAAAGAAAAATAGAAATATTAGAAGAAAAAATAATATTCTGTTAAGAAACATCCTTATTACATAATATGATTTAGCATTTATGTAGATTATAACAAACCTTTAAAGCATAAATATCACTGTTCTGTATAAACATGTAAAAAACAAGTCAGGTTCCTAACTATTGATGCTATATTTATAAAGACAGAGGATTGTAGTTCATCAGCTTTCAGAACTATTAAAAATTCTCTTAATCAGATTTCAAAATAATGAAATCAAATAGTTATTTTACATATGAACTGATAATTAAAGCAAATAGCACACTTTATGAGTATAATATATTTAATTTGTTTTTAAAAACCTAACAGAAACTAGTATTAAATTAATGCTACATCTTGAAAATCAACAAAGTAATTAAAAAATCAGAAATAACAAACAATGGGTTAAAATACATATCTTATGCAAGACATATCTGAGTTTTAAAGTTTCCTTTAAATTTCCAAACAGGACACTCATGAAGCTACATGGAACTAAAGCACAACAAGTTTTTATGAAAAGATCAAATTTAATTATAGCGCTAAAAATTCTAATATACTAATTATAACATAATATAAATAGCTAAAAAATCTTATGCATTTTAAAGGATTCAGTTTAAGATTATTTTAAAATTTATGATTTTTTTTTAAAATTTGCATAAAAAATACAAAACAACAATATCAAAATGTTTAAATAATAGGATATTTTTATTTCAACTTTATCCTGAAAAAGGTCAACATTCACTAGATTATGCATACATATCTGATATACTTTCTAATATTTGACATGAAAATTAAACGAGATACAACTAAACTGAAATTATAAACCTCAAAAGAGAAGTGTAATATTATTAAGTGGAAACATATATTCATATATTTCTTGCACTATCTATGAGTATACAGGTACATAAGCTAGTTTAAATGAATGCACAAAGACAAAGAAATCTCACTCAACTTGCTACTCATTTTCACACTGCTTCACTCATGAGCGTAGCAATATGAATAAATAAAATTCTGTAATAATACATTATGCTTTAGTGAAAGGAAATTGTAAATCAAAGAAAACTTAGTAATTTCTGAGACTAGTAATGCTTTTAAAAATGAATTTATTTATAAAATTTTCTGAGTAATTTCTGTTTCTTTCAATTTAAAAAAAATCTTATTTTGATCTCATAATGCTAAGATGATATAGACTATACAAAAGGTATAAATTAGTAACAGATTTTGAAAATGCATTTTATAAAATAATAAGAGTTTTCTTTTGCTGAGGTTCAGCTTTATTATTATCTATTACTCAAAATATTTCCAAATAGAGTTACATGCAATAAAAGATAAACTATAAAAAATTTTTAACACATGCTATAAATACAATGAAACCACATATTAAATAAAGAAAATGTGATGTATAAAAAAAATTACTAAAATCAAAATTGCGTTTTACCAATTACTTTACAATCAAAACAAGCACTTATGCAGGTAATACATGAAACTGAAGAAAATCAGGAAAATTTTAGTATTGAATTTGGAAATTATTTTAAATTTTAATCTAAGTTCAGATAAAAGCTGCTGTTTTCCTTTAAAATATTAATAAGTTTTAAAGGATTTCTTTTACTATCATTCAGATCACACTATATACTTGCTAGTACAGTTTTATTGTGGAAAAAGAATACTTGCATAAATTCATATAGTTTTTTTTCTTTATTAGCCCTCAATATTTACAACGTAAAAGAAAATTTGAGTTCATCAAAATTTTTTAAATACTATCAATGTAACTGTATGATGAAAAATGATGCAGTATGTAACATATTAATCATGAAAAATGTAGTATTGTTACAGAATTATTTGGATGTAACAAAACTACATTATCAAACACCATCTACTGGCAATTAGAACAACTTACAGGCAGTCGACCTCTAGCCACCTACCATCAGGACAGGTTCTCCAATATTATATCTCCATGATTCAAATGTTAATTCTAAATGTTGTGTGTTCAGTTTTGGTGTATGTTCTGTTTTAATCTAGATTTTCTTTGTAACTGTTTCAATGTTCTGTTAATAAATACTTTTAGAGATATCTGACATTTGTATTTATAGAAGAATGGCTATTAATAATATTTTAAGGGATAATACTAAAAAATATTAAATACCATCAGTATCATAATGCAATTTAATAAATTTGAATAAGGTATATCTGTATCATAAAAGAAAAATCATTAGGAAAATTTTACAGAAATCTGAAAAGATATCAACACTGATAGTTTATATGTTATAATAATAGACTTGATCATAAAGAAGTTTTGAATTAACTAAGAATGAAAAAATTGGTTTCTCAATCAAACTCTTATTTGAAATTTGGATACTTAACTGTTAATACAGGGCAAAATAATAAACTTCCAAATACGGTTAATGAATATACAAATATCAAGATTGGCAACATAAGTTGCAAATTAAAATTACACCAAAAGTTGCAAATTTAGTAACCCTTTCATTATGGGAAAAAACTATTTAATCACATTAAACTTTTTTGAAAATTAAGAAAAGGCGTTGCTTCACATAAAATCTTTGCAAATTTTATTTTTTAGCAAAAAAATTTTGGATTTTTCATACTTCATATAATGAGTAGTAACCTTTTCTCAAAGAAAAAATATTTTGGCATTGTCTCCCCTTTTCAACAGATACATAAGATTTATAGTATTTTTCATATAAATGACTAATGAATTTTTAACAAATGTTATCTAAAATAAGAAAATGTATATAACTCTCATGTAAATATCTCTCTCAAAGTTATTACAATTAATTATTGTTCTTTAGAATACAGAGTAGATTTTAATATATACTGCATTTTTAAACTGTTTTAAAATACAGACAGAGTAAAATGGAAAATTATTTTAGTATGCCACTCTGGTATTATAGAATCTAAAATTTTAAAAATTATGCATAACAGCCTTTCTTTGTGATTCTAGCCTTTCTTTCATCACAATACAAATTTTTATGATTTACATTTTGAGTAAATTATACTGAATAATTTTTCATTGGATAGTTGGTTTTTATAGGTTAGAAACTTCATTAGCATTTAGAAAATTTTTACTTGAAAAAAAGGATATTATCAAACTAAAAAAGGGGGATGAAATATTAAGTAATATCTCTTGCACTAAAGTCATAAAAATTGTGGAATTACGCAGAATTACTCTTTGGTTAGAAATAATGGCTTACAGCAAAAAACATTTAAACATTATGATAACTTGATTATGCATAAATATCTGCATTAAAACTTGAATATGATCTAGCATCTATTGGGTTGTCGGAAAAGTCATGACATATTTTGGTAAAAGATGGCAAGTATTGATTTACGGAAGCACTAGAGTTATTTATAGCCATGCAATCGTTATGTCATGAAAAGCTGAAAGGTTGAGCGTTATGTATACTAATACTTCAGGAGAGGATATTTTACTTCAGAAAAGGGAAGAACATGCAACAAGCTTGTAAAAAGTTGCATAAAGTTTAAGGCAACAATTCTCTACAAGAACATCAGTGCCAATGCTGGTTCATGAAATTCCATGCTGGTGATTTTGATTCCCTTGGTCAGGAAGGCTTAACGAGATTGATAATGACCAAATCAAGACATTAATTGAGTCAAACCATCATTACACAACACGGCAGACTGCAGAAACATTGAAAATCCATCATTCAACTGCTCATGAGCATCTGAAGAAACTGGATACATAAGCTCAATGTGTGGGTTCGTCATAAACTCAAAGAAGTTGATTTGTTAGCATGGATATATACATATGTCACATGCTCATTAAATGTGAGAGAAAAGATCCTTTTTTGAAGCAACTGATAACTGGTAATGAGTACAACAATGTACAACTCCACATGTACAACAATGTGGAGAGCAAACTTTCATGCTTCCAAAAAGGTAATCTGCCTCAAACAACATCAAAAGCAGACATTCATCAGAGAAAGATTATGCTCTCAGTGTGGTGGGGTTTTAAAGATGTAATGTTTTCTGAGCTTCTACGTAGGAACCAAATAACCAATTCTAAAGTGTAAAGTTGGCAAAGAAACAGTTTGAATGATCATCATCCAGAAATGGCCAGAACTCATTAAGTTATGGGATTGTGTTAATTTATAAGATCCTACAGGGATCGTGTTAGATTATGACAATGCAAAACCACACAAAGTTTGGTCACTCGTCAAAAACTTTTGGAGACTGAATGGGATGTGTTGCCACATCCACCACATTTGCCTAATCTTGCACCACCACACTTCCATTTGTTTCGTTTTCAAGTCCTTGCATGATATAACATTCAATTCCAATGTAAATCAGCCCCTCCTTCAGTTTTTTATTTATAAAGATAGGTCCTTCTATGAACAAGGAATTCTGCAGTTTGCTGAAACATGGAGCAAGGTTATTTAGCAAAATGGACAATATAACATTAACTGAAATGCATTCTTTGCATCATGAAATGCATGTTGTGAAATACAGACCAAATGCGTCATGACTTTTGCAACAACATGACTGCTTTATTATAACTGTCTATCATAAATACACAGTTTTTTCAAGTCAAATTTAACCCTTAGTTTGATATAATTGCATATATTATAGTAATAATTTTTTATCTTGTTTAGATCAGCATTTATTGCATTTAAAATATTTTCACAATAATTTATTTCACTGACACACTTATGCTTATAGTTTTTTATAAATTATGTGAACCCATTTATCTACATAAGCACATATAATAATTTAAATAAAATATGCTTTGCTGATTTGATAAGCATTATCATTATAATAATTTTGATTTCATAAAACTTTCTAACTTGTATTAATATTTTGCTCCACATAAAAATAAACACAACATAAATTTCATAATCCTAAAAAAATAAAAAAGTTTAAGAGTCCTTCATAAAGTTGGAAATGTTCTGTTACTTTATAGAAAGCTCAGTTTATATTTAAGTAACTAATTATATTACTTAAAAGAAATCATATAAAAGTTTGGAATTCATTAATAATAGGCGAAATGTTTACAGAAAAGAATATATATACTTTGGATTTCTTTTTGTTACACAAAATAAGAGACTTCATTGAATAATAAGCTAATTAAAATGAGAAATGAAAATGAAAATGAAAATTTGTGGCACAGAGTACTATAATTTTGTGCTCAGATATCACATTGTTTATAACTGACTTTTCAGCAGAGTTGATTTTTATAAGCATACCTACATAGTGAGAAATGTGTATTGATAAAGTTGTTTTTTAATTTAAGATGTTTCTTAAAGTAAAATCACAAAACAATTGCATTATTTACTTTTCTTTTTTAATGTCTAAAAACATGTGCTTTGGGCTAACATGTTAAAATATTTTAGTGTAGTTAATGTCATACTTTTAAAGATTTAGTATAAGCAAAGAGCCATCTGATATGAATTCAAATATTTATAGCAGTAATCCTTCTCACTTTGCAAAAATAGCCTGAACTAACCCTATGTGCAGGTTCTGATTCAACTGTTTCATTTTCTTCAACTTCCAAACTTCCAGAGATGGCACGGCGGATTTCAGGCCCAATTTCATGGAGTGTGCGCAGTCCAGCCTGAACAATGGAGATCAGCTACAATTAAGGTTACTTGGTGTTACACACAGGACGATCACCACAAAACACAACAAAGCACATTTGGCACACAATAAGCAAAAATGAAAAAAACATGAAAACAAAAGCAAACTAAGATCATGCAATTTTACAGGCATTATTTCAATCAACACATGCAGAAGAAGGCAGAGATACTATTGTTCTACTAAGTTGATTTAATTTTGCAGCACAGTTAGAGAGTTATATAGTAAGCTTAAGCTGGCAAGTTTACAAAATGTAGTAACACAAATTTTTTTAAGGGATAGATAAAAATTTTCAATTCAGCATAATTTTGATTTATTAGATTCAGATATTTAATATAATTTTACCCATCTTCAAGAATTACCAAATGCACTGAATAAGTTTATATTCAATTGGCTTAAAAACCACTAAATTTTTTTCTATTATTTGCAATTTAATTGCTTGAACAGATCAGAATTTTGTATGGTCTTTTAATAGAACAAAAAGATATTAATTTAGTTTAATTGCAACATAAGGATTTAAAGTTTTATGCACTTAGTGACAAATACATAATTGTTCAATATCAGAGAAACATGTATTACAAAATGTTAAAAAAATGTAAAAATGTTTCATTCCTAAAAATAAATTAAAACCAAATGTGTAAAATTTACTAATTACTTTACTGATAAATCCAGCTGGTTCATATACCAGTTTATAAAGCGGAACTTTCTCTTCAATTTACTGCATGAAGAAGAAATTTGACTTTCCTAATTCAGGAATGAAATATTATATAAGTAATTGGAAAAACAAAGCTGCATTCATCAGTATTGCCATTAGTAAAGAATGGATAATAACCAACTGGCTTCAGTTTCGAATCTCAGCTAAAATATGGGCACTTATGACTGCATGACTGGCAGTCATAAGTGCCAGAGTGCGTGCGAAGATAATAAAAAGATGTTTAACAAATTGAAAATTCTAGCTATTAGTGAATCTAGCTTTAATATGGAAGATACCTTCAGTCATCTATGAGGAAGAAAGTAGATTTAGACTTTAGTTATATATAATGTCTGAGATCCAGAATCGTCAGGGTGAGCCACCATGTTTGGCGATTCCAGAAATTCCCAGATTTGAGGACATTAACTTAAATCTAGTAATAAATGACATATAGTAATTATTACATTAAAAATATAAAATGATTGTTTGTGAAATAATGAAGCATTTATAAAAAGAGCTCAGTATTAACATTTATTTTGTTTATTAAACATTTCCTTCTATGTAAGTTATTTAAGCAGATTAGCTTTTTTGTTAATATTTTCTCTTTAATATTATAAAAAGATATAATTTCTTCTTCAATTACAAAATTCATTGTTTAATTCCTGTAGTTGACATCTTGAGAATTCTCACTAAATTGTTAACTGAAATCCAACATCCATCTTCAACAAACATTTGTTGCCACTTTTATTCATTTTAAGTAATGATATAGATATTTTCAGGATTTAAAACCGTACAACAGATTCCCCAGCTGTTCAATGGTTAGGGATTAGGAGAATGAAGATTTCTGTTATATCATTTTCACTCAGTATTTCTTCACACACACAAAAAAAATTTCATGCTTTCTTTCTATTAGAACCAAATCATCTGGCAAGAATAAGCAGTTATTATCCTTCTTCAGAAAATAGTATTTTAGTTTGCATAAAGAGGTACTGCATTTGGATAAACACTTCATGAAAATAAAATATAACTCGAAGCCAAAATGTGGATATTTTCTAATTTTAAAGCCATACTGCAGATTTTGCTATCTGTTAATCAACATATGTTTTTGGCTTTGTCATCACAATGAAAGATTTCAGTTATATCATTCAGGATTTCTTTGCATATTCCAATCATTGAACTTGAGGTATCATAAAGTATTAAAATTCATATAGATGCCATCCTCATGAACTATGATAGGTAGCTATAAATATGTCAAGCACAGTTAAAAATATTTGTAATCACATCCTCTCATGACCTTGGATTGCTTCACACAGTAAATTTTATATTAAAATCTTTCAAGAATTATTAGATGAACTGTTGCACCAAATTTTAAAAGGCTACTTTTTATCTGCATTTCATTTGCACAAAATTCTAGTATCAATTAGCTGAATGATGAATACACAGTTTCATTAGGTTAGGTTGAGTTATTTGAATATGGCAAAGGCATGAAGGCTATCTGTCTGACAAGAGGGATGGCTTCATGGTGACTGATGGTAACTGGCTCATATGCATGTTACACATGGAGAAAACCATGAAATTCAATCACACAGCCAGTAAATTCACCTGGGTTTGAATCCATGCCACAATGAACTACCAGTATTTAGAGGTTCAGCTTAATCAATCTGGCATCGGTGGGGCAAAGTGCATTTTCGAAAAAAGATTAAAATGAAGATGTTAAAATAGCAGTAAAGATATTAGATTGAACAAAATAATAAGCTGGATTTAATCAGAAATTTAAGGAAGTGCAGAATTTACGTTAGCTGAGTTTAAGTTCATCAGAATCAAACTCTTTCTTCTCTCTTCACTGCTGTGTCAATGAAATAAAACCGATTTGTGCAACATTTCACTCCAAACAAGCATCACATTGGACTTTATTTATTGTGAACAGAACTAGATAAGAAAGAAAAACAATGCTGCTCCCCAGAGCCACTGAAAGGCCAAAAATGTAATTCGCTAGTGTTTAAAGGTGAAAACCATGATTCAACACTGTTGTGGGTTATTATTTCTCTCTCTAAAAAAAAAAAAAAAACCCTCAGATATTCAGGAGAAAATCCGATTTACAGTCCATCAGCTTTTTCTTGGGCATTAAATTCTCTGTTTCTACATTATATGTAGAATAAAAATTATGAGAGGTGTATACTTCTAGTTATTTTATGTCCGTATTGCATTAATATTAATGTTATATTTACTTGCATATGTCCTATCCTTTTTATTAATTTTACTATTTTCATATCAACATGGGAAAATGATGCAATGTGTCAATTTCTAAGGGAAATTATTAAAAAAAGAATTTAAAAGAATTAGTTATAGTCACTATTTTTAATAGTATTCATTTTACTTACATAAAGTTACTTTGTTATTGAGCCATTCACATTCTGATGAGAAAAATAAAAAGGTTTCAAATTAGTTGCTGAAGAAACTAGGGAGAAAATACCCAAGAAGGGGAGGAAATATTCAAATATTATGACACTGTCTATGCAGCAAAATAGTCTGTTTATGATTTTGCTATATAAATACAAACAGTTTGCATCATTAGCAATGAACATTTAACGAAGGATCATCTTGATTGTGCAATAGGACTGCTATTAGAATTATATACAAATGTACTAACTCATGTATTATCCATTCATATTAAAAGATGTTTACTGATAATAAAAATAATTTAGATATTTTTTCCCCAAATGTTAAACCAAAACATCTACACTTTATGATATTACTATTAGTGACATATGATGAATCCATCAAATACACATTGTAAAATTTTAAAATAGACTGCCAAATTTTTGTGCATGGCAATTATTGTTCAAATATGACAACAACTGATACTCAGAACATTATGCAGTTGCAGTTTCATATTTGTTTTATGTTTATTAATTTGGATATGGCTTTTTGTCAGGGAGAATAATAAAAGTATAGTATTAAAAGTCTAAGATAATAATACTTTCTGGCAAGATAAAGTTATACTATTTAACAATAATTCACCTTTGATTACAATAAATGGAAAAATCAACATTTTAAATTTAATTAAATATCTAGCTTATGTATTAATAAGCTATTACAAAGAACATGCAGAAACAATACAGACATTAATATAACATATATGCATACTAAGCAGTACTAAAAATGCATGAGACTGAAACAGGCAGATACATATAAGTGCATGAAATTTTTTATTTAGTACATCAAAAAAACTATTTACTCCTATTTTAAGATTTTTATTATTCTTCATGCAAAACTACTAAGAGAATCATAAAATTCATAATGAACACAAAATACAAGAACGATAAGTACTTTTTAACTTTTTTTAAAATACAGTTCAGATTTATAATTACCACAACATTACAAAATTTAAAATTCTTAAAAATACATTAAAAGAATTACAGAAAGTGCCCTAACATTACAAGTAGTTAAGTATTTAAGTTCTAAAAATGTAAGAAAAGGAACTAGAGAGGGTAAAAAGAATTATTTCAAAATGCACATAAATAATAATTTATAATACTGAATCTTAATGCAGAAAGATTGAGGAAAAAAAAACTTTTTAGACTATGCTGCATAATATTTTCATGTTTTGATATCAATTTTGGAGCTTTAAAGTAGACAATTTAATGGAAAGAATATGCAAAATTTCAACTTATATAATGCTTCATGATGAATTCTTAACATCTAGATAGAAGTAAAATAATGTCATCTGTTATCTATGTCAAAATTTCAGTATGAGTTGGGAAAAAAAAAAAAAAAAAAAAAAAAATTATGTATTAGAAATCCTTCATAGCTCATAACAAATCAGATATTAAGACAAATCTTTTAAACAAATTTTTCAGGAACTATTGTGGCAAGAGCATTAAATTCAAGAATTTTCACATCAATATTTTTTACTGCTCTTCTAAAAAGTGACACAAATACAAATACAACATAATAAATGTGAAAATAAAGAAACTAAACTAATAAGAATTTTTTTAATATTCTGTACAATTCCCAGCTCAATCCTAGAAGATGCTGTTTACTTGTCTTAGGCTTGGACATGCATTTTTATGATGTAATATTGCCTACGCCTCTTTCTAAAAACAAGTTATAGTTATGCTATAACTTAAATCTCTGGAAAATTTTAATTATATTTTAACTGAGATGAAATGTTAGGTTCATAATGTTATTGTGTGAGAATTTTTTTTTTGTTATAAATGCACTTTTGTATGATACTTTTAACATTTAATGCAACATGTTAAATCTAAAAAAAGTATGATTAAGATTCATAAAACAATTGAAAATTT